TAATCTAGTCTTAAATAACTTAAAAAGATCCTTATTTTTAGATTTTAGCTATTTTATGATAATAAATAAAGAATAAATATGAAAAACAAGAAATAATGTACTTACCCAATCTTCTTTTTTTCTTTCTCTCGGGTTTTTGAAGAGAGTTAACCCTAATTTTTTATACCATAGATAGTAATGCACTTAATAATATTTATTTATTTAATTAAATAATGCACCAAAGAATACAGACTAATAACATGCAAAAAATAGACAAATTCACTTACCTCTCAAAATTTTTCTGGCTTTCTAACTATGTGACAAGAGTTGTTACAAATTCATCCAAGCTAGGAACGAATCTTGTATTGTGAGTGAAATTGATGATGCTCTGTTCAGAACACTACGTTATTTGATAGATGAAAACTTTGACTTTCTATTGGTTATAGGTAATATGTAATGAAATGTAAGAGAGAACTATCAACGAATTGTGAAAGAGAGGATGTGAAAGGTGGGTATGGCAGGAGGGGTCTGATTTTCTATTCGATAGCTCTGTAACCAAACAAAATTGAAGGCTATAAAAATTATGGTTTGATTGAGCAATAATGATTTTATAGAGAGTATTTTACATTTAATTTCCTACTTTTTCGAGGGGTGGTGGATAAAATAGGGATGATGACATGCTAAGAGAAAATGTGTCACGTGGATCACATTAGTGGAAATTGAGGATTTTTTTAAATATTGCCTTGTAGAATTAACAACCTAAAACTTGTGTACTATTCAAATATGGATTATTAGCTGAGATTTTATGCTATTCTAATTGGTATAACATAAACAAAATATAGTTTAATAAAATGTTGAATGTAAGACACTAAAACCTTGTGGCTTGTGCATACAGGGTACCTGGGGCGATAGGGTTAAGGTAATATTAAACAGATATATTTTATACAAATATGTCCCATGTATATGTGTTGGTGCTTTTTTTCCCCATAATTAAGTACAGAAATTTTGTCCTGTAATATATTTGACTGTCATTGGTAAAATGTGTCATCTTTGATAGTGATTCTTATTTTAGTTTGTCATCTATGCTTATTATATTTTGGGTGGTTTTTGCAACTAAAGAAATATATCTTTTTACATATGTCTTCCCCCTTTGTTGTATGTACAGATTTTATTAATTACATGTCTTTCTGTGTTAGTATGGCTCTGAATGATTTTAAACTCATAGTAAAGATAAATGAAATCTCACTGTGCTTTCCATACTTATTGTTGTTCATGATTGTTGAGTTAGCATAGAGTCTGAAATATGTTTGCTCACATTGGATGATAAATTCAGTACATTGGTGAGATGAAGACATTTCATTCAATCTGTGTCAGCTCTCATCAACCCAACAAGCTTGATTATGTCTTATGTTCTTCAAAAGATCAACTTCATAGTTCTGAACCTAACAATAGATATCTTGTCTTTTTCAGTATGCCCTCCATGTTTATGATCTTCTGGTGGATGTTGGAGCCAAGTACGAAATCAAACATGTTGGTTACTATGCCATGAGAACCTTACGAATAGAAAAGTTTTATGCGTTCTGGGGAAAAGACATGGACACCACTACGACCCCTCTAGAATGTGGTCGAGGTTTTAGGGTAAAATTTGATGTAAGTTTCATTATTCATTCTCATGTTTTGTTATACTTACATGTATTGTGTAAAAATCTTAATGGTAATTTGAAAGTAGTTGTCTTTTCTGTATAAAGTCATCAATAACTTTGGACATCACAGCAATAAATCTTTGGTTTCTAGTTTTTTGTATAATGAAGAATCTTGCATATGCTTAACTATGTACACTTCTAGTTAATTATATCTAATACTGTGTGATTTACTTTCTTATTCTGTGAAATACATAAACTTATCAGTTATATATTTTTGTATTGTAGAATATTTTATAATCAGTTTTTAATATTGTGTTTAGATATTTATCATGAACTTCTATTTGACTTTCTTGTTACATTTATATGTTTTTTCATGACTTATGCCAAATTCAGTAAAATATTACAGTCATACCTTAAGACAAAATTTTACTTTTAGGAATTCATTTATACACGATGTTCATTTTTTTGTTTGCAATTCATTTGATCAAAAAAAGTTTTGAAAACATTCTGATATTGCTAAGCCTACCGCTTGCATGTATAGTACACACACACATCTTTGTTCATCTCTTTTTTTGTCAGCAGTTTATTTGATCAAACCTAATTGTTACCTTCTGAAGATTTAATATGCATTGAATTTCATTTTTAACCTTTGACTTTCTATTTTTAGTAATGCATTTTTTTTTATCTATACACAGAAAGGAGATTTTATTGGAAAAGATGCACTACTGAAACAGAAAAAGGATGGTGTCAAGCGACGTTACATTCAGCTAGTTTTAGAAGACCATGATCTTCATAATGATGTTTGGCCATGGGGTGGAGAACCCATTTATTTGGGCAACAAATGCATTGGCTTAACAACAACAACTGGCTATGGCTTTACTATGGGCAAACAGGTAAGTTGCATTTTAGTGTATTAAAATTCTTATTGACTTATTTAAATATGATTAGCTTTACTATGGACAAAACAGATAAGTTGCATTTTAGTGTATTAAAATTCTTATTGATTGATTGAAAAATTTCCAAACATCATTAATGAACATTCACTTTTTGTTGTTGTTGTTTGGTTTTTTTTTGTTTTGTTTTTTTGGCTCATGACATGAAAACCAATCCATAAAATTAGGCTGACTTTTTAAACTTATTTCTTACTGAAGCATTACACTTATTTACTTGGGGCATTTTATACTAAAACTTTAAAATGTAGCATGAAGGCATACCATGCATTTTCTACCTTTTTATTTTGATGCAGAAGTTTTCATTTATTCTGAATCTATTCAAATTCAATTTTCACATAACACATGGTATGAAAGTTGCTAGATTGACTTCGTTGTAGCTGATTTTCCTTTGTCATTCTGTGGAGATAATATCTGTTCTGCCCATGAGAGGAATGGCTGTAATGCAGCACATTGTGCAAGAATGTAGATGACAGCTAATGTCCTGTAACAGTAGGCCAGATAATATCTTGAGGTTATGACCGCCCCTATATTAAATGAGAATGACCAGTTACATGGGTAGCATAATTGTTATGGGTAAATCAGATATTTTCTGTTAAATAAGAAGCATTATATTTAAACATTATGGAATAGACTGTGGTAAACATTATATTTTTTTATGATATTGAGTGTATTAATATCTGTTGCTTATGGAAAGATATCTTGAGGGAAGAAAGCTAGTTAATCAATTCAAAAATACAGTAGAAGGTTACCTTGAAGAATATTGAAAGCTAGTATGCACACTGTATTTTTTTTGAATAGATATTGTTTTCATTTTGTATCACACATGTCCAGTCTGTTTATTTTTTGTTTTAATTTAACCGGTTTAGTTAAATTCAGCACTACCTCATAATTTATCCTACCAATCCTCTCATTATAAAACAGACCTACCTTACTACTCTTTGAGGAAATCAGTTTAACATAAGAATACCATGAAACTGCATGATTAATCTTTCAACTTCACATCACAGACCCAAAGAAATGAGGCTATCTTTCAGACCCATTTCTTATGGAGATATTACATGTGTTCTCTCCAATCATTTCACCTTGAAACACGAAACTTCATGATGAATCGTTTAATTTCAGATTGTGACCAAATGAACAAGGCTTATCTATGAGTCCCATTTCTTATTGAGGCATTACACTTCATTTGTTAACTTGAGCCATTTCAACTTGAAACATGACTAAGCTTCATGTAACATGGAGACAAAAAAATATGGCTGATTTTTTAGATTCATTCACGTTCAGGCACTACTCTTTACTTGTTCTTCAGTCTTAGAACATGAAACCAATACTAATCTTCCAGATTCATGTTATTTTTAAACATAAAAAAATGGCTTGTCTTCCTCATTTCATTTCTTTTTGGAGCATGACTTGTCTTACAGATTGAAGAAACATCAAACTCAAATAGTCTAAGATTTTTGTACAGTTTTGTTCACCCATCAAACATAGTAACTTCTTCACTTAATTAATGAAAATAAATAACTTACCATTACTTATCTGATGAGGTCAGTGACTTGTTAAGATGCATGTTACAAGTTTTTTTGAATATCAATAAATTGTTTTATTTTCTAATTAGTTGTATAAATGTGTACAGGTATATATATGTATATTTATAGGTGTGTCTGGGTTTTATCCAGAATCTTGACAGCAGTGGAAATCCTCAAATTGTCACCAATGACTATATTTTGAAAAATACTTTCCATATTGTGATAGGTGGAAAATTCTTTCCTGCAAAAGCCAACATTCACTCTCCTACTCTGTCCTTTATTGAATATGGATATGATTCTGCTTATATGGCAACAAGGTAATACCTTATCCAGAGTCCAAGTAAAACGTAAAATACTGTTTTAGTAAAGCTTAAAAGCCAAGCTTTGGCATATGACTCACTTATGATATATTTATTGATAATGATAAGTGTTTGGGCAACCTTTTTTAGAGTGATCTTCATATGCATGTATTTTTGCTGCTGTTGTTTAACTTTCTTATTTTTATGTATCATGTACTCATCATTTTCAACTGCTAACTAGTAATAATTCTGGTTCTGTTGCAATCTGATATGAGACCTAATAGAATATTGATAGCATTTTTGTAAATGGTATTTAAGTATTGTAAATAAAGTCAGTTACTTGATGCTGTCATGACTGACTAAATTACTCATTCACCATCATTTTCACTTTGAAATAAAGCTGTAACTTTGTGAGAAGTATCATGGTTCAATCACAAATATGAAAGCTAAATCTTAATATTTTTGTTTTTATAAATAGCTGTTTGATATTATATTCAAAAATTATAACAGAGATTTTTAGACAGTGGTACCTGAAGCAAATATCTGTGGTACAAAGAAAAAAATTAATGTAAAAGATTATAAAATTTGTAATAAACCCTATTTCAGCTGCTTCTTCGTATTCTACTCTCCTCCCTTCTAGATTTGCCTTCTGCCTGTACAGACTCACCAGTGTTTACTTTACTCATTTGTCCCCCCAAAGTAACATGAACTAATTAGCTGAGTCTATGCAATGACAGTTTATTCAAGTTCTGTTACAGTTTTATCAGTCACTGTATTCAATATTTTTATCAGTCAAGACTTCAAATTTATGTATATAATTGTTTTTGAATCAGTTAAAGTATACTTGGGTGGAACTACAAAAATTTAAAACAAAAGGTGAAACACAAGCCTGTAAAGTTGGAGAACCACTACTTTAGTTTATGTAAAGCTTCATCAAGGGATATAATCTTGTGTAGTTCAGAGGATCACCACAAAACAGTATATAAGGAAACTTTATTTCATTGACACTTTGAGAATTTGTACTTTCTAATACTGAACATGATTTTAGCATTGTTTAAATCATTAGTAGAAGGTTGGGCATGGATTAATTCCTGTTTCATTTAATATTCCTTACTCTAATGCAAAAAAGAATTGTTTTAATGCTGTTCAGTGCTAATTAAAGCTATATATTCCCAAAAGTAATTGCATCAAATTTTATGATGTATGATTCAGATTAGCCTTAAACAGGTAGCAAAATTTTAATGTAGTTTAATAATGCTTGGAGATGGCTTGAATGGGTAATGAAGAAAAACTTTAATACAAGTTTAACATAACAGCAAATATACAACGTTTCAACAAGGTTTTGTCATCACCCTGGGATGCCCAGATATCTCTTCAAAGTCGTGCACAATATCCGGTCATGTGACCAATCCCATTTCTAAAAGTGAAGACAAACATAAAATAATATCTGCCATGGATCAAGCTTGTGTGGTATACCACACAACCAGTCCCCCCCCCCCCAAAAAAAACAACAAATAAATAAAGATATCTACATCTGCTCTAATGTAGGCCTACTACACCCAAAATGGATAATTTGTATTGAAGCCTTTTAACAGCTATTTAAAGTACCAGATGTGTGTCTTTCTATATCCTGGTGTGTTGTTTGAATGCTCTGTGTTTGGATATCACTGTTCTCCACTTTAAAGAAAGATATTTCACATTTTTTTTAATTTGTCTGTAGTACAAATAGCCTTATAACACTTAATAATTATAATTAATTCATATAGCTAATGCCTTTTTTTATCCAAGATAATTTGCAGGATTATTCATTCATTATAATAAAAGTATCATAAATACATTGTTATCATTGTCAGGTATAAAACTTGTATTAATTTTTTATATTTTTGAACAGCCAAATTTAGAATTGTGAAATAAAAATTCCTCATTTCCTTTTGTGGATCTCAAGAATCTCTGTAACTATTTTCCTCCCTTTGCTTATCATAAAACTGTATTTGCTTGTTGGAATTTTGATAGGCTACTGTTTCTAAAAAAAACAGTACATAGACTAACAACATTTATAAGTTATACTTTTGTTGCTAAGCAACATGACATAAAAACCATTATTGGAATGCAGAGTTATCAAAACACACTGGCTTTTCTATATTAGCAGTTATTAATCTGATTTTTACCAATAATTATTCTATGAATTCATTTCATGAATGATCTTAAATTTTCATTGGCTCATAAAGGAACTTACCGATATTTGCCTGCACTTTTCTGCCTCTTTGTTGATTAAGCTTGATTTTGCGAAATTTATTTATTTCATTTAGCTATGAAATGTGAGGTTAGGGTATACTATGGGGTGAAGGTGGTAGTACTTGCTCCATCATTTTTGATAGGCTATACCCTAGTAGGTATGATAA